CAATACTATGGGAATTTTTCCTTTACAGAGGTTTGAATAGATTTTTCTCCTTTACCTATATATAACCTCATTTCAAACTGCTTTTCAAAATGAGGTGATTTGCTATTGTTCCCAGAGTGAAAAAACAGAACTTGCGAAACACAATGCCATTTTTTTTTCAGATGGTGGAATAAATAGAATGGATGAAAGTTTTTTCGTGCTCAATAGATAATAGTAACTTTCGATTTACTGTATCAATGATGTCTACATTTGAACTCTTGGTCTGTTGTATTTATCTCCTTCCCAACAGCGACAATACATTGTATGAACAGCACTGCTCATGTGTTCAAAGACTGATGGATCAAACGGGTGATCGTGGATTGGTTGTTGTTGTTGGTGACTACAATCTACCCTTCTTGAATTGGGACCATGATGATGAATTGCGTTGTATCCCTACGGCCATGTAAAGACATTCTCAGGTATTTCCAGCACACAGATCGGTAAAAGCAACTTTTATCCAGTATATAATGCGACAAACACAACACGAAACGGTTATGTGCTCAAGTTATTAAAGAAAGAAAAAGTCGACGAAGAGAATCTGTCAATGTTACTTAGGACCTAATGCAATGTTCAGCTTATATACTTTTGTCTGATCTGGGTTTTTACTCTGCGGTCAAAAGTATGTAACCTCTCTGCACACACAACAGCAGAGATTGTCATGAAATCCTGCTCTGAATTATTTTATACACCTCAGAGTTGGTTGGAAATGCTAACATGAAGCTTTAGTGTGATGATTTATTAGCTAGAGAATGATCTTTAGAAGAGGGTAGGTGGATAGTTCCGTTAGAGTACGGCAGTATGAAAATTGAATAGAAGTTGAAAATGAGCGAAGGGCCATTAAAGCGACAGTTTACAAGATAGACGCACATTTTTGCCTAGCCCGTACGATGTACGCGGGGACTTGAAGTATGTCTCCAAGTCCACAGGCAAAAATGTGCGTCCCTCTTGTTGCTCATAAACTGACTGCGGCTGTGGAATAGTTCTAGTGACGTTTTCATCACTACCTAAAGCCCCACGCTGCGAGAGCATTTCCAGTCGATGGTGTTTGCATGCAATATAACACTCATCTCAGAAATTATTTAGAATATTCATTATAAATGGACCTCTAACCCACTTCACAATTATCATGGGATTTGCCACACAATCATCTATATAATTTACTATAATCTAAGCTTTAAGTTCTAGTCAAAATTGTCTAAGAATTCTTCCAAAAACGCCATCGGAATTTGTTCCTGATATATCTTGTTGTTATCTCTTGAAGTCTTTCTAAAAGATCATTAAAATTCCTTTGGAATTTTTAATGATGGAATCCGGAATCCGGAATCCGGAAGTCCAGTCCAAGGGTATTCTTTTCAAGCTCCAGAATCTCATTTTTTTTTCAAAGAAAAAACTACATATATTCTTATATATTCTCGTTTTCGTTCGAACCGTATTTCCATACAAAAAAAAATTGTGTGAAAAATATGGTTTGAACGAAAACAAGAATAGGTATGTGTGATTTTTATTCCGGCTTTCTTGATTTCCTGGTTCACCCTGGATACCTTGTCCGTGGCACCGGAACAGAACTTTTGGGATTTTTCAACATCACAGAAAGTGATTTTAATTTAATTGATTGTTAGATGACTCCAGACCTGGTTTCGGTAGTTTGATGAAAGTAGTCAGAGTTCACATTTTCGAAAGAACTTGACGGACCATATGCAACATAAAAAGGTAGTGTATTTAAGTCTACGTTTGTTATAAGATGACACTAGTACTACATTTTGTTTTTGAAAAATATCACAATTAAACTCACCCATGAATTGATTTTTCGTTTGTTTCTAAAATATTACTATTTATTAAACTTTCATTTCCTTGAGTCGTAGCTATACATCCATATTTTAATCCTTTACATGAATAAAACATTCAAAACAACATTAGTTATAGAAAATAGTCTGTTGCTGAGGCTCTGAAAGTTCTGTTGTTAGATGTTCGACTTTCAGCCATGCCTTTCAGGGGTTCAAACGGTTGGGTCTTTATTCTCAAGTGGCCCTGCATCAGACTTGCACGTCTGCTTCCACGTTTGCACTTACTTGTTACATCAAAATTTCGGTTTTATTATCCAAACTGTTGGCGGATTACTTTTTGCCGAGAACAATCATGATGAAGATTCTGTGCCAGTAGAATAAACTTCAGATGCATTCTGTATTGGGCTCCAGTTGAATAAACTTACTTGCTTATTTGAAACCTTCAAAACGGTAAAGAGTAAAATTAGCCACTTCATTCGAGCTGTTTAAATGACGTTTACTACCACTCGAACTTTGAAATAAAACATTATTTTGAGATGTTTTCTTCTAGAACCACGAGAAAAGTAGCCAAAATTGTTGCGTTTCATAACAAAATAGAAATTAATTGGTCCAGTTTTGTGAAATCTCTGGTAGAAAATCACGCCAAAACTGCTTGACAAAGTGGTCAATTAACAGCACATTTCAACTGCTTCGTTTTGCATCCGGGGAGATAATTTATGGATCACTTGTACTTCCACTGGAAGGAAAGGACCTACATGGAAAATTAACATTTTCCTGAAAATCTATTACCAAAATGTAGCAAAAGTTGTTGTAGTTGATTTTAAACAACTTACCAACAATTTCATCCACCTCTGGCGATTTTTTCCTGAATGTTTACACGCAGTCGACTGCTGGAAAGGTGACGACTCTTGTCACTTGAAATCGTCATTTCAATGCAACTTTTGTCACCAAAAAACGACTGTGAGAATAAGGTGAGAGTTCATCGGGTTCATCCAAAGTGACTTTTCTCACCTCACTCGTCAGCTAGAATCGAGTGACACGAGTGACTCGAGTCACCTCACTTCATTCGCCACGCAGAATAACCCTGATCATCAGCAAAGTTGTGCCTCTAAAACAACGGATCGACACCCACAGGAAGAAACAACCATGGTGGAACAATGAACTCAAACGGCTGCGAAATCGTCTACGCAGGGCAAGGAAGCGTTACTTTCGGTCTAGGAATGAACAGCATAAAGGTGTATTCAGATCTAAGCGTACATAAGCGGAGCGGAGCAAAATTTGCGTTGGAATGAGAGAGACAACTAGTACTTTTCTCCCTCTCGTACCTTCGCAAAATCTCGCTCCGCGCGTGAAATATCGCTTAGATCTGAATACACCTTAAGGCTGAGCTGCGTGACTTAGAGAGCGAATATAACTCTTTGCATGCACAATGCTTTCGCTGCTACATTCTCGTACTGAAGCAAGTTTGAAACAGGACCCCAACAATTCTGGCAATATGTGAAGACCCGTAAGCGATCCAACGGAATGCCTCGACATCTTCGTTACCAAGGTGAGGCAGCTGAATCTCCATCAGAATCCACAAATCTGTTCTCGACGTTCTTACGAAGTGTGCAAAGTAATAACCGACCACCTTTGAATGAATCGTACTTGAGAAATTTGCCGCACTACGACTTGAACGTGACCGTCTACAACTTCTCTCGACAAGATGTTTTTGCTAAGCTGGTTTCTATCGACACTTCGAAAGGAGCAGGTCCAGATCGTCTGTCACCTTTCTTCATCAATCGGTGTGCGGAGTCACTCGCTTTGCCTGTGAGTATACTCTTCAACAGATCTCTTTCGGAGGGCATATTTCCCAACAAATGGAAAACTGCAGCCATCACTCCCATTGATAAAAGTGGTAATGTTAATGACGTCGAAAATTATCGTGCAATTTCGATTTTGAGTTGCTTTCCTAAAGTCTTGGAGAGTCTTGTCCATGATTCTTTGTATCGTAACGTTCAACATGTGATATCAGAGAGTCAGCATGGATTTGTCAGGAAGCGGTCAACAACAACCAACCTGATGTGCTACGTTTCTTCTCTTGTGGACAGCCTTGAAAAGCGACAACAGGTCGATGCAGTTTATGTCGACTTTTCTAAAGCATTCGACAAAGTGCCGCATACACTGGCAGTGGAAAAACTCAAACGCATGGGATTCCCTCAGTGGCTTACTCAATGGATTGAATCGTACTTGTCTGAGCGTTGGGCTTTTGTACGCCTCGGTGGAACCTCATCTGAAACGTTCTCAATTACTTCCGGGGTTCCCCAAGGAAGTCATTTGGGACCATTACTTTTCGTGCTGTTTGTTAACGATCTGTGCGGACTTATTAGATCACCGAAGTACATGTTCGCTGATGACCTGAAATTCTTCCGCCTCATAACCTCCATGGTCGATTGTTGCGCTCTTCAGATGGATATCGACTCGCTTCTTGAATGGTGCTCATTAAACGGAATGAAAGTGAATATTCGGAAATGTAACATCATCTCGTTCAACCGATCTAGGACAACTGCCATTTTCGATTATAAGATGAACGCTTCAAGTGTCAACCGTGTGTCATCAATCAAGGATCTTGGATTAATACTGGACAGTAAGCTGAAATTCACCGAGCACATTGCAACAACCACCGCCAAACTTCAAACGAATTCTGTAAATCAAGATCAAAATTAGACTGATACGTTTTTGATACTTGACCAACCAGCAGCAAAGATTTCAGGGACATCCGAAAAAATTACATATCTTTGAACTTTTTTGATGAGAAAAAAAAATTGCGAGCTGATATACTTTTGTCCGGAACTGTAGGTATCATAAAATTATATACAGGCTCACAAGCGCGGATCAATGAAGTGCAACTACCAACATTAACACGATTGGCTCCAAATGCAGTGCAAACACTCAAAGTTTTCGAAATGCATCAAACCGGGACTGAATGCCCCGAAAATCAATTAAATCGTGTTTGTTTATTTTTATATGACTCAATCGGTGAAACATCGTGCGCTAATGCGAGCCCAGTGATGCTTTTTGACCGAAACCAAACACAAACATTCAGCTTGCGTTGACATTCGGCTGGTGTTTCCGTTTCCACTCCAAGCCAACTCGAACGAGGCCGCTGCTTTGTTAAATAATTGATATTTTAATTACCTCGAAATCCATCATTCCCCGGTAGACAAACAGCAGCGCGGCGAAGAACGCAATAAACGTGAGCAAATTCCGGGGATCACTTATTGATGTGACTAATGGTATCGATCCCATCTGCCAGTCGTGGCTGAGCGTCGATGGACACAGCAGCAGCCACCAGTTGAAGGCTGCCAGGTAGCAGAACGTCAGCAATCTGTGTGGGTGGGTTTGTTCAAGCGAGGAGAGAAAGCAAAACAGAAGATCAAATTTGTTTGCGGTCTTGTTGAGGAAAATAAAAAAAAAACATCAAAACTTCTGCTTACCGAACGTATAGATTTGGGTGGAACGCCGTGGGGTTGTCCTGCTGGGAGAACTTGGGTAGGGATCCTTGCAGCAGTGCCAGTCGGACGGCTAGTAGAACGCCCATGGAGAGCAGGACACGCGACACACGACGGCCGAATTGGTGCGTTTCCTCACTCCACCTCACGTCCATGATGGATTTCTTGAGCGATGCCCAGTTCCGGTACACGTCATACGCCACGTTGAGGAGGAATACCGTGATGCCGGTTTCTTTAGCCAGCATGCTCAAGCCACCAAGGATGATGCTCAGCCAGAGCGAGTTGCTATCCGGTTCGTCGCCGTGGCTGTAAAGAGAGAAGATGAAGGGTAATCGTTAGAATGTTGGCAGGTTATTTGGATAGTGAGATATGCCATATACATTATTAGTTTCTATCCGTCTCTGCAGGGAATATTAGACATTGTTTCACAGGCGCTAATTTTTTATTCCTTGATTTGTTTTCCGTCGATCTTGTTTACCGTGCTGAGCACCAATGGTACTGACGCCAGGGAGGCAGCTCCCACACCTGGACCATACCTATCAACTCATCAACTCATGAACCGAGGACCAACGGCTTTACTTCCCTTCCGAAGGAAGGCGTGATCAGAGATGTTATGCCTCAGAACATCCCGGTGGCGCTGACTAGGATTGAACCCAGGCCTGCTGGGGTGAGAGGTAATCACGCTTACCACTACACCACTGGCGCCGCTCACAGGCACTAATTTGTCACGCTTCAATGGTACGACGGTAAAGCCCAAGAAACATTGCAAGCTTTATCGAAGTTTTAATGCATTCTACAAGTCAAAATCATGATCTACAGAACTTCGAGATGGAGTGTATGCCTAAAAATAGAATGTTGCCAAAATCTAACCATGCCAAAATCGTACGGCTCTTTTTTTATTATGATTAACTACTGATTGGTCCATCATTTCATAATGTCTTTAGCATGGAAGAGGAAAAGATTATTAGAATGGAGCCAAAGTCTGTCGAACGATGTACTTTTGTTCATTATCTTAAAATCTCAATCATTTTTGTTCGTAATGAAAATCTTTGACAACACTAGTCTCAGGACCTCCCGGAAATTGGACAATACTTTTCCTGTGATCAGATAGCTGTATCAGAATGTTTTTTTTTTTTACTTTTTGATAAACGATACATGGTTTGGTCTGGCTTCTTCATTTCTTTATTAATGAGATTTTTAACCGTAGGCTAGTTCTTCTCAGCCTAGAAGTTTCTTCTAGGTGTCCCAAAACTGTTCTGGCGCATGCTGGATGATTCTTCCGAATTTCAACTGAAGTACACTTCAAATCAGTGGGTTGCCTCCAGCTGTCTTCCCCAGTAAAATGTTCCAGCTTCCGCTGGAATTTTCTTTTGAGATCTTCCAGTTTTCGACTTTGTCTGAAAGTGTCTCTAGACTTGCTCGAAGGTTTATTCCTACTTATAATGGAAGCTTCCTCCGAGGTTCTTCTGGTTCCCCCCTGGGACAGTCTCTCGAATATACTTTCTGGCTTTTTTGACAATAGGTAGGGTCCATGTGTGGGAGCTGCCTCCCTGGCGTCGGTAGCATTGGTGCTCAGCACGGAAAAGATCGACAGAAAAAAAAAAAAATTAAGGTTTCCGACACTTTTGGCGTATTTTTCTCGAGTTTTTGTCACACGATTTCAGAGGAAATTTTCCGATGTTGCCAACGGGAGTTTTGGCAAACTTTTTTCCGCGTTCATAGCTTCTGGAATAATTTTCTCGATTTGACTCAGGAGTGTGATTTTGAGCAAACTGAGACGAACAACAAAACAGGACAAAACCTTTCATTAATGCATGTATTGGTAGGAGCTATCACTTCAAGCTACACTGCCCATACCCGCATGTCAGTCCCATTTAAAAAATTGCCATGTTGAGAAAAAGACGATTTTTCACATTTACATAATTCGGTGTTTTTTGTTGATTCTAGTTATCCAGTACAGCACCATCTAGTGGCGCCGGTGGTGTAGTGGTAAGCGTGATTACCTCTCACCCCAGCAGGCCTGGGTTCAATACCAGTCGGCGCCGCCGGGATGTTCTGAGGCATAACATCTCTGATCACGCCTTCCTTCGGATGGGAAGTAAAGCCGTTGGTCCTCGGTTCATGAGTTGATGGGTCGATAGGTAGGGTCCAGGTGTGTGGGAGCTGCCTCGGTAGTATTGGTGCTCAGCACGGAAAACAAGATCGACGGAAAATAAATCAAGGAAAAAAAAAGTACAGCACCACTGCTGAAATTAGTTGCATTACAACATAACAATATCGTTTGTAGCTAAAATATAATTAAAACTTTTGTTTATCACGAGAAAAATGAGCCGAAATCATATGGGAATGGTATGCGAGTACTTTCCTTGACGAGTGCAAAAGTACTCACATACCAGTCTCATTGCGCGCTATCGCTTGAGTTGTTTACCTCGGACGTAAGAAGTGCATTTTGAAATTAACATTGGATTAGTACTTTTTGCATTGCATGCAACTTATCTGTGGTAACAAATGTCAGTTCTTGAAGCACTTAAAGTATACGGTGGTGACAATGAGAGTTCAGAAGACGAATTCTACGGATTTGACTCGAACAACAAATCGGAGCAGTATCCGGAAGTTTCCCGCACAGCTATTTTGTTTGTAATTTGTCAAAATATGGTAGATGGGCAAGCTGTTGGTCAGATTGATAACGATAAAGCTATCGCTGATAACATCAAATATTATGTTAGGGCCCATGCATTAATTATGTCACGCTAAACCGAGCAAAAAATTACCCCCTCCCCCCCCTATCGTGACGATTTTCCTATACATAATGCATTGCTTGTCACAAAACCTTAGACCCCCTCCCCCTCCCCCCTTAGAACGTGACATAATATATGCATCAACCCTTATATTATTATTAACAAAATATTCCTTTTGGGTCATTTAGTTGCCCCAACTTGAAGGTTTCAACACGATCGTTTTTTCCCAACGTCTTCTGGCGTTCATCGAAGCGTTCGCAACAGTCGGGAGCTATGTCGAGTTCAACGCGGTATTAGCATAGAGGTAACTCTAAGACTAGAAGGTCCCGAAATAACGTGCTCAACTTTTTGGCTCAGCTCTGGTACTCTCTTCGGTCCCAAACTAATCGATTCACCCCTCGAAACATAGGAAAAACCAATAACCCCTCATTTTATCTGTCAAACTTTCATAGCGAATCAAAACAAACAGTGCGTAGTACTAGAATTTCGACTAGAATGGGGTACGTTAATCGTTTGCTTGGGACCAATAGGCTAGTCAAGTAGTGAGCCAATTTAAAATCGTTAGTTTCGTATTGATTGTTGGTATTAGCGTGCCTGTGCCATGAAGCTGTAGAATGCTTGGTGGAATAAAAACTTACAGAAACTTCGAAAGAAAGCCCGGAAACTATTTAACCGGGCAAAAATAACAAAGCAATGGGATCAATATAGAGAAGCCCTAACAGCTTATAATAGGGAAATTAGAAGATCAAAAAGAAAGGATTGGAGGCATACATGTGAAAACATTGAAAATACTCCAATTCCTGCTAGATTGTGGAAATTTCTTTCAAAAGATCATTCAAATGGCCTAGGAACTCTTTAAAAAGAGGACGGCACGTTAACGTAAACTGGTAAATCAACCGTAACAGCTCTTCATACGCTAACGGCGCCGGTGGTGTAGTGGTAAGCGTGATTACCTCTCACCCCAGCAGGCCTGGGTTCAATCCCAGTCGGCGCCGCCGAGATGTTCTGAGGCATAACATCTCTGATCACGCCTTCCTTCGGATGGGAAGTAAAGCCGTTGGTCCCCGGTTCATGAGTTGATGGGTCGATAGGTAGGGTCCAGGTGTGGGAGCTGCTTCCCTGGCACGTCGGTAGCATTGGTGCTCAGCACGGAAAACAAGATCGACGGAAAAAAAAAAAAAAAACAAAAACCAAGCTCTTCATACGCTGGTTACAAAACTAGAAAAAATCTTTACAATCAAAAGAAATTTCCCTAGCAGCGTTCATTGATATTGAAGAAGCATTTGATAATGCATCTCATCACTCAATGAAAAACGCTATGATGAAACGTGCGTTCGATAAAAGCATAGTTAATTGGATTAACGAAATGCTTAGCAAAAGAGAAATCTCAGCAAACCTTGGAAGCTCATCCATAACAGTAAGAGCTGTAATAGGGTGTCCTCAAGGAGGTGTTCTTTCACCTCTACTGTGGTCTTTAATAGTTGATGATCTTCTCAAAAACTTAGAAGCACAGGGCTTCGAGATTATTGGCTTCGCAGATGATATAGTCATATTAGTGCGTGGAAAATATGACTATATCATTTCAAGTAGAATCCAAATTGCTTTAAATTATGTTTCATCGTGGTGCACTAGCGAAGGATTGAATATTAATCCATCTAAAACAACTATTATACCATTTACACGAAGAAAAAAAAAAAGTCCATAAATAGTATTAAACTGAAAGGAATAATTTTAGAACTTTCAAACACAGTCAAGTATCTGGGAGTTATTCTTTACAGTAAACTAAATTGGAATCCGCATCTAGAGCAACTCATAAGTAAAGCAACAAATGCTCTTTGGATAAGTAAAAAACCTTTTGGTAGGAAATGGGGACTAAAACCTAAAATGATCCACTGGATTTATTTGACGATTGTAAGACCCAGAATAACCTATGCATCATTGGTTTGGTGGCCGAAAACCAATGAAAAATCAGCTCAGAAAAAGCTGGGGGGGCTGCAAAGACTAGCTACTCTCTCAATAACTGGTGCAATGAGTAGCACACCAAGTATGGCACAAGATGCTCTACTTTATTTGCTTCTGTTGCATCAATTTATTCAATTAGAAGCTGAAAGGAGTGCATTAAGGATCCCACGGTCACAGCACTTCCTTGAAGGTGATCTTAGAGGACATATGAGCATCCTTAAAATGTTCAATATTGGATGAAGAAAAAATATCACTTCCATCGTCTTTACAATGTAGCAGATGCGGATCGCGATTTGTGGGACAATGGGTGACCAAACATTCGTCCAGGATCAATTGTCTTTTATACAGACGGCTCTAGATTGGATAATCGTGTAGGAGCAGGGGTAACAGGTCCAGGAATAAAAATCTCAATATCTATGGGCTACTGGCCTACCGTGTTCCAAGCAGAAGTCCAAGCAATTCTTGAATGTTCTAAAATTTGCCTGCGGAGAAATTATAGAAATTTGAATATCTGCATTATGTCTGATAGCCAAGCAGCACTAAATGCTTTAAAATCAGCAACATGTAATTCTAAACTTGTATGGGAATGTTCAATGTCATTCCAAA